CTCGGTGAACGGGCGCCAAACGACTTGACCGAGCTGATGACGTTCGGCTACGGCGACATTGGCAACGAGGGGCCGAAGATGAACGGCGACGCGAACACGTACGGAATTTTCGGGGCTTAAAGGGATGCGAAGAATTATTAAAAACCTATTTTTAAGAACGACGATCACCCAAGAACGAAAAAATGCGCTGCTCTCGAAGTACCTGAACGGGAACCGGAGCACCGACGAGAAGCCGGAAGAAGCGCCGGAGAGCCCGGTGTCCAAGACGAACGGCTATCACTGCGATGAGAGGACGGTGAATGGCGGTAGCGGATATGGGAGCGAGACGAACGGCTTGGAGGCGGGCAGGCTGTTACGATCAAATGAGAGTTTTCGGACGTCCATACCCGGGATTCCCAACATTTGCCCTTGCAGCAGCTCCTCCCTCCTGACCCCATCGAGCATCTACAGTACCCTCTGTCGCATCCCTCTCTCGATCCCCATCGACCTCATCTACCATCCGCCCGGAAGACTTTTGACCATGCCTCCACCAGGTCCAGGTTCCGCCCATTTCCGGAGAACCCTTCTGTCCACTTTGTCTAACAACACGTCTGACTAATTTTCCCGAAAGGCACCGTTTTACTAAAGAATCAGGACTCGCCCGAACGGTTACGGCAACGCCTTGCTAGCCTGGACCGTCAGAATGGAGGGAACGGAGTGGCAGCTCGGCTACGATGGATAGGTTAGTATTGGCTTACAATTAGGGTTAGGCTTAGCTTGGCTTAACCCTGACTTGGGCATAGGCTTAGGCTTAGGCCTGGGCTTGACTTCGGCTGTCGGATCAAATCCATACTGAAATTTAGGCAAGAAGAACCCGGTTCCCTCGCTGAACGGCGCTGACTCGTTGACGGATCTACGAAAACGGCTGACCGGACTGACGCGCGACACGAGCTTCACCAGCAGCAGTACTACCATTAATGACAAGGTGGGTTGCGTTTTTGGTTAGGCTTAGGCTTGGCTTAGGCGTGGCTTAGGCGCGGCTTAGGCTTAGACATAGCTTAGGCCCGGTTTAAGCTTGCTTGGGCTCGGGCTTAGGTTTAGGCTTGGCTTAAGCTTGGCTTAGGCTTCGCTTAGGCTCGGCTTATGCTCGGATCAGGTTCGCTTCCGCTTGGCCTAGGCCCGGGCTTAGGTTTAGGCTCGGATTAAGCTTGGCTTAGGCTGAGACGAAGGCCTATGCTTGGGCTTATGCTTATGGCTTAGGCTTAAAATGCGCTTACCTCAGAGGAACATTTATTTTTTTCAGTTCCAATCAGCCTTGCTCGCCTCCCGGAAGTCGAGTCTTGTCGAGTCGGGCCAGTTACAGCCATCTGGATCGAGGAGTCGCATCGGGGAACCCAACCGAAAGAGCCGATCACCACCCCTAGGACCCATTGTTGAGGGTGAGCTTTTTCACAATTTTTTTTGGTTTTAGACATATAATTTAATGCCGTGTTATGTACTTTCCTATTACAATCTATCACTTTTCAAAGCCTTATATTCTTTTAATGGCCGTAAAAGTATTCTAATTTACATAACTCTATAAATTTTAAATCCTTAAATCGGATTTTTGCTTCATGAAAAAAACCGTGTAATTTAAAAAATTTACTTGTTTAATACTTTTAATGAATGCAAATTCTTGAGACTAGCTGATTTTTAAATTCTAAAAGAAATCGATTTCCGCCGCTAAGGTACTCTTCGAAAATTCTCAAAAATGACAAATACCCCTCAAAAATGTGAATTGGGAAAACCTAAATATCTTAAAATGACCGATACCTCTCAAAGATACCAACAAATCAGACTAAGATATCTTAAAATGACAAGTACCCTCAAAAACGGTAATAAGAAAAATTTCAAATTTTTAAAAATGACAAATACCCTCAAGGATCTCAACACTTCAACTTTAAATATCATTAAAAATGACAAATACCTTTTAAAATGTTCATAATAAATCGCTAAATATCTCAGAAATGACAAATACCCTTAAAAATCTACCGTATTCCGCGCTAATCCTTTTAACAATTTTCCCTTTCCCTTAATAAGCCTGGACTTCCGGTTTCAGTCGTTACGCCAGAGGGGCGACGCCGTTCCGAATGTGACATTTGCACCGATCCGCTGATAAATTGTGGATGCGGGGGTACGGTAATTCGGTCGCGATTTTTGCATGGGAATGCGTTGCGCTATTTAAAACAATTTGGGTGCCATTTAAACTCTGCAAAAAATTTAAATCTGTGATTTTTTAGGAAAAGCTGCGCGTCGAAAGGCCGAGGTGGAGCTCTCGATGACGCCGGCACAAATGGGTGCACCGGTTAGTTTTTACGGTTTAAAGGGACTCGGCAGTCAAGACCCTTCTGAAAAATTCGGCTCTATCCTAATAGCGGGGACCATAGAAATTATCGGGTACCATAGAAATTATCGGGGACCATAAAAAGTATCGGGTACCATAGAAAATATCGGGTACCATAAAAAATATCAGGTACCATAGAAATTATCGGGGACCTTACGAAATATCGTGGACCGATCGCGAATATCGGGGACTTTAAAATCGACCATATAGGCCAAAATTTCGGCTGATCAATATCGTGGACTTTCAAATTTGGACTCCAGCCGGGCTTTGGTCCACGATATTGACCGATACAAAAAATATCGGAAATTGCCGGAAAACGCCTGCTAAGGCTAGCAAAGGGCGATTCACTGGCTTCCCAAGCGCCAGGGGCTACAGAGAGGCTTACCGTGCCATCTTCCTTGGAACTTTACTGTCTGGGGGCGACTTGACGCTTATGGCGAGGTGATGGTTCTTTGAGCTGCAACACTCCACATAAATTTGTAGGCGCCCCCAATGTTTTGCCTAGGGAAATCGCCAGTCATTATCGCGCTTTGACCCAAATTACTAAATACTAGTTCGGGTTTGTGAAGCTTAAAAAAACTTGTTAGTTTTTTTACGAAACCACCCCTGAATTTAAAAAAAAATATTTTTTTAAAATAACTTTTGGCCGTTCCACAAAGATTTGTAGGCAGGACCAATTTTTCGCGATTTCCGGTTTCGCATCATTTTTTCACCTCGAAAGCATCGGGGATGGTTGCTGGTGGTGCTCTTGCTTCAGAAATTATTTTTCGCAGGGCAGACACAGTGAGCTCGTGTTCCAAGACCGAAAATCGTGGCATCAAAATGGTCTGTGGACGGGTTCGTTTTAGCGAAGTGAACGATAATTTGGCCGTGTTACCGAGCGGATGTGCTCCAGAGAAGCCTTCCGACCAGTAGCAGAAGCACTCAAAACTCAATTGCGCATTTACAACGCAAAACTTCCTGAACTTGTTCGTGTTCGCCTGTGCCCTGGAGTAACATGGGGCTAAATTCTGCTTCTCTAGTCATGTCTTCTAGTCATGTTAGGCGATTTCAAACTCGGTTTGTGTTGTAACATCGTCACATGACCTGTACGGATCCTTACGTAACGCATCGAGCTCGAACCCGCACGAACGTTACGCCGGCGATTTCCCACTGGCGATTTCCCTAGGCAAAACATTGGGGGCGCCTACAAATTTATGTGGAGTGTTGTAGCTCAAAGAACCATCACCTCGCCATAAGCGTCAAGTCGCCCCAGACAGTAAAGTTCCAAGGAAGATGGCACGGTAAGCCTCTCTGTAGCCCCTGGCGCTTGGGAAGCCAGTGAATCGCCCTTTGCTAGCCTTGGCAGGCGTTTTTCCGGCAATTTCCGATATTTTTGTATCGGTCAATATCGTGGACCAAAGCCCGGCTGGAGTCCAAATTTGAAAGTCCACGATATTGATCAGCCGAAATTTTGGCCTATATGGTCGATTTTAAAGTCCCTGATATTCGCGATCGGTCCACGATATTCGTGAGTGTCCCCGATAATTTCTATGGTACCTGATATTTTTTTATGGTACCCGATATTTTCTATGGGTACCCGATATTTTTTATGGTCCCCGATAATTTCTATGGTACCCGATAATTTCTATGGTCCCCGCTATTAGGATAGAGCCGAAAATTCTTTTAAAGGGACTGGGAAGCAAACATCCATAAGAAAAATAGTTTTTAGGCACCGGAAAAACAGAATCTATAAATAAAAATTTATTTTAAGGAGCCGACGAGCCAAAATCCATAGAGAAACTTTTATAAAGGGACCGGGAAGGGGAACACCGGCAAGTTTAAAATGATAGAAAACATTTTTAAAAGGGCTGGGAGGACAAAATCCACAGGAAAAGGTTTTTAAGGAATGAAGAAGCGAAAATCCATAAGCAAGACGGTTTTTTAACGGAATGGGCAAGTCAGAATGAATAGGAAAACTTTTTAAAGGGATTCGGAAGTCAAAATCCATAGGAAAAATCGATTTAAAGGAGCCGGGAAACGAAAATCCATAAGAAAAACGTTTTGAAAGAATCAAGAAGCCAAGATCTATAATAAAATTTGTTTTTAAGGTAACATAGAACTAAAAATCCATAAGCAAGACGCGTTTTAAAGGAATCGACAGGTCAAAATCGATGGGAAACCAATTTAAAGGGACTCCGAAGTCGAAATCTAACTATATATAAAAAAATAGTGTTTGTGTGTGTGTGTATATTTGCATGCAACTTCCGTGAGTATGTACCGCACCTACAGCTTCTGGGGAAGGTTTTTAAGGTATGTTTGATACGTCATTAGGTGCGTAAAGGTGCCGAGATGAGTGCACACACATAAAAGTGTTGAAAAATTACTGTTTTCGCTATTAAAATTTAGTTTTTGTAAATATTTCTAAAAACCTCTTTGTTAGGGGCAATTAGCAGCGCCGGAAGCAGGAAGAGCCTATATAAAGGGACAAAGGAACCGTTTTTCACTTTTTTCTTGCTTGGATTCAGGAAGAAACATGTAAATTGAGGACTCTCACAGGTCCTAGACGGGGCCAGGGTTGAAAAGCCGCGAAGCGGTTTTTCAACCCTGGTTCATAAGTAAAAAGGACAAGAAATCAAAATCAGTTTTTTTTCAGGAAATGCCGAGCCAATCGGGCGACCTCCCCTTCGTCGTGCTCAACAAGGCGCTGCGGTTGATGAGCTATCAGGAGGTAAACATACCCGAAAACTTAAAATTTTAAATTTTTTAGCTGGCCCGACTTCGGCAAGTCCACCCGCATTGGGACGAGATTTGCGGGCAGATGCTGAACAGCGGCTACTACCAACTCATCGACAAGTCGGACAAGCTATTAATGCGGCTGCAGCGGCTTGTTCAAAAGGACCTGGGCTGTACTGACCCGACCACGTGCTGACCAATATTCAGGTAGATGAACACACTAGCAGCACTTCCTTAAAATATCTGCCGGCTTATCTATATAATTAGCGCATTAATACAGGGTGTCCCAAAATTATCCGGACAAAGTTGCAAAGCGGCTTTTTGCTAGTTTTTCCCTATTTTTGCAGACCATAATTTAATTTCTATGAACCGTTGAAGTGTATTTAATAAGCTTTAAAAAAACTGCGCGTGAATCCGTCATATCTCTTCGCAATAAATTGGAGAAGTTCGAACCAAATTTCTCTCTCCTTGCAAACGCTAAAAACGCGCATGCTTTCCGATCCCATAAGAAACTCCAGCATGACCGGACGAACGAAGAAACCACAGGAAGAGTTAGGAAATGACCAGTCAATACTTTAGCCGGCCCAAAACCACAGGTTTACACCAGGAAAAAACAGCCAGCAAAAAAGTTGAAATCGATGTACGCGCCGCCCCGGTTGCCTTAAAGGTTTTGCCCTGGAGGAACCCTAAAAACGCGATATGATTGTTGTCAAAGACTAGAGGCAAACTTTTGGCGGTAACGATGATGCACAAGCGATTTAAATTAAACTAACTTTGATTTTTGAGGGAGCTTGAGCACGAGCAAGCATCGAAACAGCTTGCCCAGTAATTGGATGGAAATCGGTATTAAACGGAAAAATGACCATTAACATGTCGGAATCTTTCCCGGAGTTAGGTCCGTTTTGCCACAAAACGTCATTTCTTGCCCACAAAAACGTCTGAGCACATTTTGAAAGTCTACCGCAATTTTTATGTTATTTAAGAGGCGAAAAATTTTAACATGCTCTTCGCTCGATTGTGAAGCTATTTTGCGTTCTCCAAGAATTTTTTTTTGCACGGTGCATCGAAAATGCTCAAAAATATTATGAAATACAATGCGGAGGCCGAAAACAGCGGAAAAATTGTAAAAGTCAGTTTTCAGTTTTGTCCGGATAATTTTGGGACACCCTGTAGACACTAAAATTTCCTCAAGAATCCCTGCTAGCTCGCCCTGTTTCTCAACTTGCCCACTTCCAGGTGCACATCCTCAACCAGGTCGACGTGATGCGAGCCGCGTTGGATGAGGGTACGGCAGTTAGGAAATCCTAAAAACGACAAAATACGAAAGATACGGTGAAACAAAAATGTGAATTTTCAGGAGTCGGCTGCTTCCCCTACGGCATCCTCCTCGACAAGACGTTCGGCTTTCTGAAGCAGATTGAGGACATGATCAACAGCGGCAAGCAGGTCAGCCCATATCGCAGTACTAAACGAAAATGAGAATTAGGAATACGATAAGAAAAACAACAATTTTAGACGGACGTCTCCTGGGAGTCTGTAGCCGTTTTTGGCCAAGCGAGCCTCGATGCATTATAAGGACAACTTGGAGGGGTTAGTAACTTGAAGGTTGGACTTAAGTTTAGGCTTGGGCTTAGGCTTGTGCTTAGGCTTCTATAAATGGTTGCCCAAAAACACGTATTACAGTATCATGGAGGAGCGGCTAGGAGAGAGCGCAAGGCTGAAGGCCGCGCACAAGCTCATCCGGCTCGACTCGTTCTTGGTGGAGACCTCGGTGCAGAAGATGGAGAAGGATAATGCGAAGGTGATCTCTCGCTCTCTCACTCTCTCCCTCCTCTGCATCTCTCTATAGCTTTCTTCCCTCTCTAGCTCTCACTCTCGCGCTCTCTCACTTCACTCCTCATTCTCGCCCTCTCTTTCTCCCTTACTCTGTCTCACTCTCTCTCCCTCTCTCCTCTCTCTCTCTCTCTCCTCTCTCTCTCTCTCTCTCTCTCTCTCTCCTCCCTCTCTCGCTCTTTCGCTCGCACTCTCACTCCCTCGCTCTCATTTTGCCTTTCTCTCCTCTGATCTCGAAATTTCAGACTCGAGACGACATTATGTGGGAAATGGAGCAACTACAGCAATCGAATGAAAAAGGGAGTAGATTCCTCAATGATCTCTGCTAGCCCTACCCCTCCGTCTCCAATGATCTCTGCCAGATTTCCCATTCTAAACCCCAAATTTCCAGCTCCGAAAAGACAACCGCGAGCTGAAGCAGAACCAGATGAAGCTGGAGGCCCGCATCGACATTCTCGAGCAGAAATTCAAAACGATGGCACGTTTATTTTCCTAAATACCGCTGTAGAATCCATTTTAAATATGATAAATCCAAAAAAATCATTTTTCTATGAAGTTTTTGAATTCTCCTTTCCCTGTCCAGAGCTTTGTACCTACACTGCTACTCAATATCTCTTTCCCCCCACCTAATTGCTCCAGTAAATTCTTTGATATTTATTTTTGAAGGAATTTTAGAGGTTCGTGTGTAGTTTATTGGCGCACTAATCGGCTTGGAAGCCCAAGCTTGACAAGCTTAAGATTAGGCTTAGGTGGAAGCTTAAGCCTAGTCTTGGGTTCCGGCTTAATCTTAGGCTTAGCGTAGGTTTCGGTGTAATTAGCGCCAGACTTAGCCCAGGCTTAAGCTAAGCAGGCTTAGCTTAAGCTTAACTTAGGCTTGGCTTAGGCTTTGCTTAGGCTTTGCTTAGGTTTAGAATCAGCTCAGGCTTTCGCTCGGGCTTAGCTAGTGCGCTGTCCACTCTTGCTCAGAAAACACCAAGTGGTTTTTCTTTCCATCTATTTCCCAAGAATTTTTGCTCGTTCTGGCTTGAGGACAAGTTTATTTGGGATCACAGAAATTCACTATTAACCAAAATCTTCGAAAAGTCGCGCATGCGATCGGCAAACTTCGGACGGTGTTCATCGCCTGAAAAATGGGACAAATGATCTCTGCTAGCCTGCCCTCGCTTCCTCAATGATCTCTGCCAGCTTGCTCGCTCAAGAACTCGAAAGCCTTACTGCTCTCACTCGAATGCAAAGACCCTTCATTGCAGCAGGCAAACCAAATTTTTTGTCGAAGAACTAATTGACTGATGCATTTGTTTTTTATGACCTATAAGAACTGATCTCTCTCTTCTCTCACATGCCTCTCTCACTCTCGGCCCTCTCTCTCTCACCTTACAAAGTGATTGGAGCACCTGGATCTTTGTATCAGATTCAGGTTTGTCATATCAGCTGTGGCATTAGGTATAAAACCTTGGGCGAGCTGTGTATGTTTCCTTGTTAGTTCCTGACACTCGGCCCTAAAAAGATAGCTGGGCATCGACAAATTGATGAGCTTGGAATGGGGAGTGCTAAAAGTGCTTTATTGAGGAATCTTGGAACCTGTTGGCTTCTATGATTTTCGTGGCAACCTAGTATAACGCTTGCTAAAGGATCGGAGAAAAGGACTACTTAAAATAGGCTGGCTTAGATTTATTTTGAAGTAGCTTTGTCATGGTTAGTGAGCTTTAGGCCTGGATTGTCCAAAAGCTTAATGACTCAGCTAACCATCTTTCCTGAGTCCTGTAAAATTAATATTCCACCTCTAGCACTCTCCAAAACCCACCCATTATATTGAATCCGGTATAACATTCCCAGACCTGGCAGCAATAGCTAGTAAACTGAATAGTGGATCAATAGCTGGGCGTTCCCTACATGGAAGAAAATTAAAAGTGCGGTGCTCTCTCTTCCTGATGATGGTTCTCAATTTTTCTCGTCTCTTCCCACATAATTGCTTAACCATGGGCAATCAACTGTTTTTGGGGAGACGGAGCCCCTTGTTTTGATCTGCAAGAGATTCCCGAGTGATTTCTGCTAGCCTGCCCTCTTCCAGCAAAGTAGTTCGCTAGCCTGCCCTTTCCTAAAGGGTTTCGCTAGCCTGCCTGCCAGTCTGCCTTTCCTCAAAAGGATCTCTGCAGTCACCTGTCCACAAAGAATCTCTGCTAGCCTGCTCCTCCTGAATCTCTGCTAGCCTGCCTCTCCTCAAAGAATATCTGAGTTTGCCTTCCACAAAAGAGTCTGTGCTAGCTTGTCTTCCTCTGTAAAATTTTATAGCCTGCCGACTGGCTTAATTCCAAGCCCCATATCGAGCAGAGATTATTTAGGAACGATGTGTTTACAAAGGAATAAAAATGAATAAAATGCTATAATTCATTTTGAATAATTTTATTATTTACTGTGTGTAAAATTGCGAAACTTTAATTCAGCGTAATATTTATCCATTACGATCAAACTTACTCGCACACAACCACAAAAATAACGGTACTGGAAAGGCGAAAATCGTGAAAAAGGCAATAAATAATAAAGACACGCATAAAAAACATAAAAATTCATAACCACTTTTTCAAAAAAAAAAGACTGATTTATTTAGCGCATGTGTTCTACACTGTATGTAAAAAGGGGAAGAATCAATCGCAAAAAAACATTTCTGGGAACAACTGATAACTGGCATCGACAACAAGGTGTGGAGCATCTGGGAATTGCGCAAAAGTTGGGCAAAAAGGAACGTTAAACCTACCAAAAATAAAATAGTCATGACAGAGCAAAAATGGGCAAAATTGCATAAAATGTAAGTGGAGAAAAAATCAATCGCTAAAAGGCAGAGATGATGATGGAGCTGGAAGCTATGTGGCGGGTTGTATCTGAAAATTACTGGTATTAGAAAATCCTTACAAATTAGATATATTTCCAAACAAAAACAAGAAAAATTTATAAAATTATTGATTGAAATGTCGCTTGAAAATCTATATTTTATTTTAATAAATTCAATTTGTCAAAAATTGTGTAGTTTTTACGCATGAAAATAGTAAAAAACCAAAGTTGAAAAATAATACTGTTTATATTATAAAAATCGAATTTTAAGAAAAAGGTTGATTTCCGAACGATGATGCGAAAGAACCGTTGTGAATTTCAAATAAATCCTTTGCCAGCCTCTGTCCCTTCACTTCCCCAATGATCTCTGCCAACCTGGGCCTGCTTTCGAATATCCTGCTAGCCTGCCAGGTAGAATTTTGACTACCAATCCCTTAAAACAAATAGCCACTACTGTACTCCCTTCTTCCCCTCAACGAAGCTGCATCCTCGTCGGCTATCGGGCCCACTCACTTGTTTACTCGGGGTCGGCTCTTATCCAGCGATTGCTGGGACCCAAACGGGGAGTCTCAGGCCATCCTTTGCCTAAACGCGTCTTTCGATATCTTTAGCCAGCAGAGCCTACCAATCGTGGGAATCGCCTAGCGAGACGTCTGATTTTGGGGTTCGGAGGCGGGAATTCGAGGAATGGGCCGAGCCGCCCGGGCGATGTTGCCCTGGGAACATTGGCATGTTGCGTTCGGTTTTTTCTCTGAAGGGGTAGGATTGAATTTGGATTTGACGGTCTTTCTGCTGTCTCGCTTCTCTCTCCTCGCTCTCTCTCGCTCTCTCTCCCGTAGTGTGCAATGATCTCTGCTAGCTTACGGTCGAATTTAGCTTACAGGTCTCTCTCTCTTTCTCCCGCTCTCTCTCTCCCTCTCTCTCCCGCTCTCTCCCTCTCCCGCTCTTCTCCTCTCTCCTGCCTTCTCTCCCTCTCTCTCCTCCCCTCTCACTCGCTCACCTGATCTTAATTATCGGTCCCGGCACCGCAAATTGCGGCTCAGAATCTGAAGACCCGGAGCGAGAGACGGTTTTTGGTGAATATCTCCATGTTGTCGCGGATGATGCGCTCAAGCTGCTGCCTCGGAGATTGTCAGCACACGCGCCAGGCGTTCTAAAACAGGACGTTAGATTATTCTGTTCTCTATCTCTTCTCCATCTCTCTCTCTCTCTCTCTCTAAAAAAACTTACTCGTTGCTCGACAGGATCGTGGCTCTTCAAAATTCCTCCAGACACACCCATCCTCCTCCGACTCGAACCAAAACCGTCGATCGTAATATCCGTACCATACGCTTGATTTGCGTATCTCCGAACTAAATATTTAAAAATTAGCCGATTTCGGGGTTATCTAGGGGCGTGGCCCAAATTCGCTAACAGTATTCATGCGGAAAGGGACAGTTGGAAGCCGATCGCCGAACCACGATTAACACAATTTTTGCTGGTAACTCCGTCCAAAGGCGTTAGGCGTACGGTGGACGATCAGAGGGTACTGTATATGAATTTGGTATTAGGTTTTGCTAGAAAAGAGCTAACGGCCGGTAACTGGGCTAGCGTTGACGTAGCGTGACGTAGCCGCAAGATAGTATTGCAGCGTACCGTAGCTTTACGAAAGGAACCGTATAAAGTCAAGTACCGTAATAAAGCTAAGTAATGTCAAGTGAAGCGCTGCATATAGTATTGCAGCGTAAAGGTACTAAAAATAACGTGACGTAGAGCCATACGTAGCGTAATGTAGTCTAGCGTAGCAACTCAACTTAGCGTAGGCAATTCAGGTATTGTCCCCGTGCTTTATCCACCCCAGCGCTACGTAATGCTACGCAGGCTATCGTAGTTGAGTAATGTACTGGATGCAGGCTACGTAGCGTAACGTATCTCGCACGTATCGTAGCGTATCTGAGCGTATCCTATCTGTATCTCAGCGTATTTGGCCGATCTTATCCCTCTGATTTGCGTACCGTAGCATCACACCACGCTGCGCAGTCTATTGTTACGTAAAGATACATAGGGAAAGTGTGTAATATAGCTTAATGTAGCGCAACGTAGCGGAGCGCATCCTCACGTATCCCAGTGTACTCACCCGATACCGTCCTTCAGCGATTCTCTCAATCTTGTAGGGCTGACAGCACGAGCATCCGCGCACCTGGCGCCTCAACTCCACTGCGATCCTTTCACCGTCAGTCCGAGGCTCGACGCGACGCCAAAATAAGGTTAATTTGCTAAAAAATCCGCTAATACCGTCTTATCAAAGCGTAGGTGTTGGTGAAGTCCTTGCGGTTGATGAAGCCGCCGTTGTCGAAGAGATCAGCCATTTTCTCCATTTCGAGTCGTGAAGTGGGGAAGCCTGGGGGGGGAAGGTGCGTCGATCAGGACCGGAAGTGCACGAAAAACGAGCAATGCGAGAATAACTCTTTGTCGAAACTGTGAAATCCCATGACTATTGATAATGGGGTGAATTACGAACGCTCATCTTGGCATGATTTCCGGTGGCCGGCCGGTCGATCCGGCGGAACAGATCCGTCACCCTCCCTTTAGCATGGTCGTTCCAGTCGCAGTATCTGAAGGAGAAAGGAAAATTTGTATATATGCTACGTTACAGTACGCTAGGCTACGGTATCCGTCTAGAGTTTCGCCACGTACCTTTCCTTCCAATCCTCCCATTCCCATCCTTCCAGCCGCTTCATCTCCTCCAGCATCTCCTTTGCTTCATCGAGCGCGTTTTGGGCCCATCGGATCGTGAGCCAAACTCGTTTCCACTCGTCTGAGAGTGGGGAGGCACGAGGGTTCCTGGAAAATGGAAGTTACGCTACGTAGGCTACGGTAGGGAGCATACGATCGACATGATACGCCAGCCTAAGGTATCTAGTGAATTATGCTACGGAAGCTTATGTTATACGTTACGATACGTCACGCAGGAGTGGGTTAAACCACACAATCAAAAACTCGATACGCTACGGCACCATACGATACCAGACGCTGCCACGCTGTACGCCAAGCTCCGTTAGGACACTCTAAAATACGATACGGTACGCTACGGAGCGTTACGGTACACCGCGACTACGCGTTAGCGGGAGGCTAGGCTACCGCTTGTACGCTACGCTAAGCTACGTTACTTTGTCCTGCACTTCCGCTACGTTACGCTACGTTAGATTACAGCGGCGCTACTGTATCGCTATGACGAAGATCCAAATAAACCCATTTATCCTTCTGGCCGCCCTGGATCGTCTCCTCAACATCCGGCTGCTTCTCTCGCAGCTCAAAGTCGAGCAGCTCGGTAGTCTTGCAGCATCTGGTCTACCTGAAATTCCAGGAATTTTCGCGAAAATATGATTTTCAGGCACAGCGGGAAGTGCAACACTTCAGGTTCAGTAAAGTCAACGCGTTGCGGTTTCGTCGCGTGCCCTGGCCGTACACCGTATAAAAAGAAAATGGCAATAGAAGGAATTTTTGGTGGACAACGAAAAGGCAATATTTTAAGGGGAGGAAACTTACTAGCTGCAGCGCGTCCTCCTGAATTGGTTTAATTGGTTTTAAATCGTGAATTAAGGGAAATTTAAGAGCTTTTGGCTTATTAAAAACTCACTCCTGCGGGCCATAAACAAGTAAACCTATAAAAAACCAGCAACCACTGTATCCAATCTTCAGGCGTCGGCGCCGCGATCATTTCGCCCCAGCCTGCCGCGCTTCTCGGGGGTGACGAATGAGCAGCCCTGAAGCGATACGGCATAATAAAGCCAGCCGGGGAGCTTGGCGGGGTTAAGCCTGGCTTCAGCCAGGCTTTACCCGGAGCGCCTTCTTCGCGCTCCTCTTTCGCTCTTCTGGCGTTGCCCTGAGGTCGGCCACCTTTTCGAGGGCTTCTGACTGGGACTTCCCGAAAGCGGAAAATTATTTTTTTATAAGTAAATAAAATTAATTAAATGATTTTCGAATTAAGGGAATCCCTCGACTCCAAGCAGTACAACCAAAACATCATCTACCTTCCACCTAGCCGCCAGCAGTCGATTCCAATGCCGCATTGGCTGTTCCGCATTCGGATGGGCCTTCTGTAGAATGTCCTGACCTCGAGCGAGCACGACCTCTTTCCTGGCCTCCTCTGCCTAAATACGGATGACCTTCTTGAAGACGCTGCCCACCTTCAACTCGTCGAGCACGGCCTGCGCGGCGGGGATGGCTTTGTCGAGGTTGGGCTCCTTTCCGGCCGCCTTCAACCTGTCGTCCAGCCCGTCCATCCAAGCCAACAGCCCATGGGCCTTCGCGTCAAAGTCTTCGGCTTGTTCCATCGCCTTCCGCAGCGCTTCCGCGCGCGCGTCCGCGGCGGCTTCGATCTGAAAATTTGAATTTTATTTCTTGTTCCTGAAATCAAGTTTCTAGACCAGTTTTGTTGCGCTGCTTACGAATCTGCAAACCGATTTTTGATACGAATAATATTTCTCAAAATACAGCTGGTTTTAAGAAAAAGCTGAAGATTTGTGTCGGATTTCTCTGAACTTCCACAAAAAGGAGATATCTCAAAAATTGGTTATTTTTGTTGAAAAATGAGTGCAGATTTAAAAAGAGCGCAAAAAACTCGTTTAGAAAAGCTTTACTCGAGTTAGAGTGAGCTTCAGACGCTTGAGAAGCTTGATTTTTAGGGTAAGGATTTTCGAAATTTTCGAGGAAAACGTAAGAAACCGTTTATAATTCGGGAAATAAAAGGTTTTGCGAAAAACTAGTTGCAAATTCGGAACCAGGGTAAACAACTGGTCTAGAAAAATTTTTCTAAGAGCCTCAGATGAGCTTGAGGAGCTTGAGAAGCTTGCTTTTGAAACCGGAATTTTCCGGATGTTTCCGGATTTTAAGCTGGCTTCACATGCTTCAAAAGCTTCTTTCCTCTAACCAAGTCGGCTTACCGCGCTCCACTTGCCCTGCAGATTATGTTTGGCTTCAAGTACAGCTTCTCCCTCAGCCACTCCCCTCTGCACGAGCTCGTCAGCCTTCTTGAGCAGCCTCTCGACTTGTCCCTTTTTCACCGCTCTCTCTTCGCCTCGCTTTGCATCTCTCTCCTGCAGTCCCCTGACCGTCTCCACGTCGCCGTGCACCTTCGCGCCCTAAAACAGAAGTTATTACGTTCTTCAAAAAAATCCCTACATCCATAGCCAAGTCCGTCTCGGCATCCAGGAGTTCAGCATCGCACCACGCCTCCAGGTCGGCGATGGCATCCTCGAAGGCCCCGCTCTCCAGTACGGCTTCTTCGGCCTTTCGGAGACGTTCCTTCGACATCTTGTCGAGCCGCTCCCACTCCTTCTTCAGGCCGTCGGAACGTCCCTCAAGTTCGCGGCGTTCAGCCTTGGGGGCGTGGTCGCAGACTGATTGGCCTCTTCTCCGGACGGCTTCATATTCGGGGCGTTTGGCGGTGAGTTCGGCTTGGGCTTCCTGAAATAGGGCATGAATGGGGGTGAGAGAGACAGAGGGAAAGAGAGAGAGATAGAGAGAGAGAGAGAGAGAAGAGAGAAAAGAGAGGGAGAGAGAGAGGGAGCGAGATAGAGAGCGAGAATGAGAGTGCGAGAGGGCGGGGGAGAGAGAAAGAGCGAGAATGAGAGTGCGAGAGAGAGAAAGAGAGAGAGGGGGAGAGAGAGAGAGAGAGAGAGGGAGAGAGAGAGAGAGAGGAGAGAGAGGGAGAGGAGCGAGATAGAGAGCGAGAATGAGAGTGCGAGGGCGGGGAGAGAAAGAGCGAGAATGAGAGTGCGAGAGAGATAGAAAGAGAGAGAGAGAGAGAGAGAGAGAGAGAGAGAGAAGTCCTTTACCTTTGCCTCGTCCCTCCATTCCAGCAGCTTCTGATGGTTAGCACTTCCGGGTGCCTCCTCGTCGAGTCGGATCCCCATCTCGGCCATCCAGAACTCCAGATCCTTCGCGCTCTCCAGCCATGAGTCCGTCTCCCCTTGCGCATTAACTCGAGTTGCCGAAAAATTTAACTACATTTCGTAATCGCACCACAACTCCCGTCAATAGTATCGGATCGGAATAATTTTTATAGCGTTCAAAAGCTCTTGAAAGGCGAACAGCACCCTCTCCTTAAATTCTCTTACCTTTCCACGTTCAGCAACCTTCTGGGCGACCTTTTCAAACCGGTGCCGCAACGAGACGAGCCCGTTCTTGATCGGAATCGCGTCCTTCTTCTCGCAGTAGTACTGCATCCGAGTGCCCGTCGCTTGCATCTCGGTCATCTCTCGGTTTTCTGGAATTTTTTGGGTTCCCGCTCACCCCAAATTCAACTGACTTGTCGGCCACTTGCTCCGCCAGTATCTGTTGCTGCTCAGCTTTTTTGTTTGCGAGAACCTCAGGTAGACGACCAGCGGGAAGCGGGCTTTCTAAAAGGTTTTTGGGCTTTACTCCCTGTTTTTCAAGCGTAAGAACGTACTAAATTTTGATAAAAATACAAAAAATACGTTTTGTTGCCCAAATTTAAATTTTAAATTCTTTTTACTTTTTCTGTTTTGTTCACACAGAAAAATTTTTTAAGAAAGTACCAGCCAGCATCTGCTCGATCCCAGACACCCAGTGGGCCGTGTCGTTCATCTGGTGATCAAGGGCGATGGCCTCCTCCAAGGCGAGCCCCAGCTTCTTCTCCCGATCCGATAGAAATGCAGGCATCGATTCCATTTATGGCGGAGTGTATGGGCACTCTTCCCAATCCCCGATCCCTCATCTTCCGGGGTGTTCGGCCGGGTACTCCTCATTGATAGCCACGTGGGCTTTCGAGGGGGAGGTGTTGCGGTCGACCTAAATGGCACAGGCTTAAACCCAGGCTTAGATCAGGCTTAAGGCTTGACTTAGAACCCAGCCCAGGCTTAGGCTTAGCCCAACAATTTCAACAGAGTACTCACCTCTCGTTTCAGCCCCAAGAGTCGTTAGCTGTTGCCGGGCCGTTTCCGGGAGTCCTCCGGTCGGTCTTGTCGTCTCCAGCTGAGACTCACGACATGCTCGAGCATAAGGCCAAGCCATCGCTCCATCTCGCCCCCAATATCCTCTGCGGCTCCCGCCGGCGCGCTCAAGGCGTGCCGACAGTTCAGCTCAGCTCATTTCCAAGCCCAGCCCACTTTTCGTTCATCTCCTCGACACGTTTGGTGGTTGTAGCGTCTCCGCCCTGGGCCCTCAGCTTGTTGGCGGTGGCATTGATGGAGTTGATGCTCGATTCCATGAGCATGGACACGTCGTTGTTGACGACGGCTAGCTTGCACTGCGCGATCTCGACGGCGCGGAGGTTGGTGGAGGTTGGGCGGCGATGTCGTGAACGGTGGACCAGATGCTTTTCGATCCAGGCAGTCAGCTGGGCCACGGCTTCGCCAAGGCGTCCCATTTCGAGCATGGCCCTCTCGATCTTGTGCTCACGGTCGGCAATGTCGCCGTAGAGTTTGGACCATCGGCCGTTGAGTTCTGGAATGGTGAGGTAGAGTTTGAGATATAGCGAGAAAGCGAGAGAGAGAGAGAGAGAGAGAGAGAGAGGGGAAGGAAAGAGAGAGAACGGACCCGCAATCGGCACCCTCACCTTGGCAGTTTGATGCCCAGGACGGCCAATTGTCAGACCGTGTGCCTTCTGGTTGACTTCTTCCTTGAGCACCGCGTGATCGTCGAGTTCGGCTCTGCAAGGAGCAGTTTTTATGAGCCGCTACCCTTTCCTGCTCACCGGAAAAGCCGGAGCTCCTCGAGCTTGGGTTGAGATCTCCTCGACGGCCACGTTTTCGGCTGGGCCCATGGAGTGGAGGCGCTAAAAAGGGAGTTAGAGAGAGAGAAAGGGCGTGAGTTTGAAAGAGAGTAGTTTTTTTTTACCTGCTCAGCAGCCTCCAAAAACTCGTGCAGCGCCGACAGGTCGTCGTGGAACTGCATGGCCTCCTCCATGGCCTTGTAGAGATGGAGAGCTCTTGTCGGAAGAACAGCTAAAAGTACAATAAAATCTTAATTAAATGATTTCCGATACCTTTGTAATCGTGCCTAGACCCGCTTCCACCATCTCAACCTGCTGGCCAACCACCATCTGCTCCTCCTCCGGGATGATGGCCAAGAGTTGAGGCCTTGACATGTCTAAAAATCGGGGGTTTTGTAACCTCCTAATTGGCCTTTTACTAGCTCGTCTCCACGAAAATCTTATAAGATAATCGATTTCAAAAAAAGAATTTAGAAAAATCAAGAAAAAGTCGAGCAAGTCCACCATGCATGTAAAATTAGTTTTTAGTGAAAATTTTTTATTTCTGAAAATTTAAATTTAAGATTTTGTTGGAATATTGTTTACAGCTTTTGACATTTAATGTAGAATTTTCGTAAGAATCGGAAGTAAAACAACCCCAGTACAGCATTGAATAGTTCAATGAAAAACTAAAAATGTTTTTCTTAAATAACTTTTGAATTTTACAATCTTTAATTCTGAAATTTTTTCTGTGTGTAGTTTGTAGCCTCTGCCATCTACGGCAAAAATTTAATAGTGATCCGGGCTAAACGACCGAGTTACAGTATTTTTTTAGAACCAGTGCGGTTTCAAAAATCAACAAAACCCTAAAATGTGACCCCAATTCTATCAATCCATCCCAATAGCTGAGCAGACTGTCAAACAAGGGGCCAGTTACTGTAGCAGGTCTCAAGGAAGTCACCATCTGAAGACAATGGCAACAGCAGGTGCCTGCGACGGGGGTCGAACCCGGGTCGTGTGGGTCAGAGGCGCGCATGCTATCCCCTAGACCAGAGTGCATACCGAAGGGAGTCGATGCGGGGCCTTGTGTCTCTCACTGCCCGATCGATATCGGTGAGGCCCTGTTGCTGCTCGCGTAGTCGTTCTGGTTGTCCGATGGCTGGTTCCAGGGTTTCGAGGCGGGCCTGGAATTTTAGATTAGTCGTGATAATTTCGAAACGCCTAAATTCAAGATTCAGAATCTCGAAATTTCAGAATGCCGAGACTCAATACGTCGAGAATCCGAATCCGGAAATTTGAGAGCCTCGAAAATCGTAATATCGAAATTCATGGTGTCTAAATTACAGAATGACCAAATTTCCAATGTCGAAAAACACAATTTTTAAATTTGTAATATCGAAATTCATTACGCCGAAATTTTCTAAATCGAAAATTTCATATTGCCGATAAACGTCGAAAATCGTAATATCGACATCATTTATAGCATAGGATTTTGCCCTTTTTGCGCGAGATTTGCCTATGTACATTTCGAAATTCCGAACTTGCGACAGTATAAAATGTCGACATTTTCAAAATAACCCGAATTTGATGAGGTAATTGAAGAATTTACTTTTTTATAAACCATCTACATGTCGTAAACAGATATACCGGAATTGGAATTAAGTGTCGTAAATGGATAGATTTAAAAAAATAGATTACTCGTAAAATAGTAAAATTTAGTATTATCTTTAGCGACGCTGACTTCATTACATGTCGTAAACCGATACCTTTCCACTATTTTTTATATTTTTACGGTAATTTTGATATCGTAACGTAATACTAGAAGCCTACAGTACCTCAATCCCTACAGTAGTACAGTACAGTCCTATTTTCAGTCCTTCAAAACCCGAAAAACCCACCTTCAAGTCGTCGATGGCCTTCTGGCAGTCGTCGAGCTCGGCCCAGAATTGGTGCGCCTTCGCGAGCGCGTCGTTCAGGAACGCGCCGCGCATCTCGGCACCTCTTCCGATTTCACCCCACAGCTGCTCGAGGGCCTGGATCTTGGCGGCCACTTCTGAAGCGGCAGCATCGCCTGGCTGTGCCCTGGCGAGAAGTTCGTTTGCTCGTTCCTTCATCGCGTCGAGGGCGGCTTCCTGGAAAAGTTGGGCTAGCTTAGGCTTAGGCTTATTAGCTTCGGCTTGGCTTAAGCTTGCGTATAGGTCGAGCTTAGGCTTAGAATTAGGTCTAACTTAGGTTTAGGCTTAGGTCAGGCTTAAGTTTAGCTTACGTTTGGGTTTAGCCTTAAGCTTAGACAGGCCTAGGCTTAAGCTCGGCTTAGGCTCGCCTGAAGTATAACTTAGCTCCAGTTCTAGCTTAAGTTTAGCTTAATCCAAGGTTTGTGCTTCGGCTAGGCTTAGGTTTAGCTTAGGTAGGCCTAAGCTTAAGTATGGGCTTAGGCTTAGCTCGTGCGTACCTTACTTATGCTTGGCTTACACTCGGCTTAGGCTTAGACTTTGGCTTGGGCTCGAGATCACATACCTTCTCCCTCAACGAGTCCAAAAGCGCCTCATTCTCGGCAATGCGATTCTGGAGCAACCCAGGGTCTGCGGAAACGGCGGCTGGCTGACGTAGCGATTCTGCGGCTCCTTCCAGCGTCGCCAAGAAGACGTCGAGACGATCGCCGAACGCTAAAATTTGGGATAAATCGTCATAAAAGCGATAAAGTACCCTCTGTGGCATCCAAGATACTGTCAATGGCTTCTCCTCTCGATTTCACTTGGTTTTTCACGTCATTGTAGCGGCCAACAATTTGATCGTAGATTTGGCGCAGAGCTTGGACATCGGCGGGGCCGACGAGTTCGGCAAGGGAGTTGACGTTGTACTCGAAGCGCTCGACCAATGGGGTTTGGGCGGCGATGACGGCGGAGAGCTCCTGGAATTATTGGACCTCGTTCTCGTTCTCTCTCTCTCTATCTATCTCTCTCGCTCCCGCCAACTCACCAAGTTGTGCTGCTGCTGCTTGGCCAGCTCATGCGATGGAGTTGCTGTCGTGACGGATGGCTGACCAGCTAGATCTCGCTCGACCTCGTCGAGCCAGCGGTTCATGTCCTCGAACGAGTGGCCGATCTCGTCGACGTGGGCGAGGGTCTAAACGAGGAGTTGGAGGAGTTCAGGGATACTTACTTGGCCAAGAATTTCTGTTCTTTCCTTGCACAGTTGGGAGACTTCATCGCTCAGCTGCATGGCTACTTCCGCCTGAAAGATAGGGGTAGAGAGGGAGAGAGAGAGCGAAGGCGAGACAGACAGAGAGAGAGAGAGAGCGAGGGCGAGACGGAGCCAGAGAGAGACATAGAGAGAGAGAGAGCGAGAGAGAATGACAGAGGATGAGAAAAGGAGGGACGGATAGACAAAGAGAGACAGATAGACACACACACAGAGAGAGAAAGAGAGAGAGAGAGAGAGAAAAGAGAGAGAGAGACATCGACCCCTTCCTACCTTCTCAAGTAGCAGCGCATCCTGTCCCCCATCAGACCCAAGTTGCCTGGCCACCTTCCTGCAGTCGATCGCCGTGTTCCTCAACTTTGCCTGCTGATCCAGCAAGTCCTCGTTTAACGCCTTCTGATGCCGAAGTTGCGTCTAAATGTACGTCTTCTCAATCCAAGCCCTGACTCACATTCAAGTACGTCGGATCAATAGCCAGTGGCTCGGCATGCATGACGCGCTCCTTGGCGTCGTTGAACCACTCCAAGGCGTAGTCGAGTTCATCTACCACTCCTCGAGTTGCACGGTCAGCGAGTTCAAGGCGTTCGGCACGTCGATTGACCTGGTCGGCAATCTGGTTGACGCGCTTTTGCATCTCGGCGGTGTGTGCGTAGAGTTCGTCGGCGCGGGGTGGTCCGGCGAGCTGTTGGAGTTGGGAGCTGGCGGCGACGAGGGCGTCGACCTACAACGTTTTCAAGGTGGTCAGGGTGGAGGGGATCGATATAAAGTGCCCGAGCTGTGAGCGGTCGTATCAATCTGGGTCGTAAAGTGTGATTCAGATGGTGAAGCATAGAGGCGCTCCCTGGGCCTGGGCTTAAGAATGGGCAGCGGCTTGGCCTAGGCTTGGCTTAGGCATAGGCTTGGTTTAGGCTTGGCTTAGGTTTAGGCTCGGCTTGGGCTTAAGCTTGGATTTCCGGCTTCGGCTAGGCTTTTTTGCTTAACTTCGGCCCAGACTTGGGAATATGCTTATGTTTGGCTTAGACTTATGCTTATGCTTAGGCTTAGACTTAGCTTACGCTTAAATTAGCTTGTTCTCGACCTCGCCCGGGCTTGGTTAGCTGAGCTTAGGCCACTTCGCTTAAGATTTAGCACAACCTCACCTCCGGTCTCCATTCTTGAATGTCAATCTCCAACGAGTGGATCAACTGCTGCTGGGTGTCAATGTCGAAGCCATCGGCTTGGTGTAGATCGGCTTCGACTGCTTCAACCCAAGCCATCACGCCGTCGTATCCATCATGGAATTGATCGGACAGTGGGATGGCTCGGGTGAGCAGGGCCAGCTTTTCATCGGCACAACCAGCCACTCGGATGTATCTGAAGTTGAGGTTTAGGCTTAGGCTTAGGCTTAGGCTTGGCTTGACCGAGGCTTAGGCCTAGACCTTCAAGCCCCCTTACCGGTGTTTGAGCTTCTCGACATGTGATTGCAGTGCAAGAGCATCTTCGGCGGCCGCCTCTCGGCATAACTCCTTCCCAACCTGGCACACGCTGGAGACGAGCGCGTCTTTTCAGTGACGTTTTCGACAAGTTCCTGAAGAAATTTGGCTTAGCTTAGCTTTAGGCTTCGGTGTAGGCTTGCTATTAGCGTTGATAAGAAGCCACGTACCGATAGCAAATTTGTCTGCTCCAACAACTCGTCAGGATTGATCGGCAGTTCCTCAACATCAGCCATATCCTGCTCGATGGCCGTCAGCCACTCAGCCAACGCTTCGACGTCCTGCTCAAAGTTCGACACCTGCTCGGCCATCGCCTCGAGCCCGATTCGACATTGTTCAGTTCTGAAAGCGATCAACGTTTTCTACGAGTCTTTCAAACCTGTCGGCGAGCTGTCCATGCCTGGCGGTAGCAGCTGTAAGTTGGGCTTCAAGCGTCCCGGCTTCTTCGACACTGACGAGGGCGGCAAGACGGGGACCGAGCTAAATTTGGATGAGGTGGTCAGCTACTCATAGCAAACCTGGCAGAGCTTCTGAACGGCTTCGATCTTGCCGTCGATGTCGTCCTGGATGGCCTCAACGTCTCGGACTTGGGCCACGAGACGTTCGGTGTCTGTGGGAAGTTTTCCGGGAGTTGGGAAATGCTGAAAGAAGAGAGGGTTAGGCTTGGGCTTAGGCTTAGACTTAGGCTTAGGCGTGGGCTAAGGTTTATCCGTATTGGGCTTAGGCTTAAGCCCAGGCTTCGGTTCAGGGTTACGTTTAGTTTATGCTTAGGCTTAGGCTTGGGTTTCAGACTTAGCTTAGGCTTATCTTAGGCTTAGGCTCAGTCTTACGCGTAGGCTTAGGTTCAAGCTAGCCGATTTACACCCTTACCGCTTCTCGGTGCTCCCTATCCACTGCTCGAACGGCCCGAGCTCTTTCCCCAGCTTCTCCGCCAGATCTACAGCGTCTCGTAGACGTGCTTGGCCGCGTTGCGCACCATCTAGCAGTTCCTCATATCGACCGGTAATCTGAAAAAGAGATAAGTAGGTGAAGTCGCTCCCTTACCTCGTCAGCCTTTGCCGACAGCGCCCGCTTCTCATCAGCATCAGAAGTGAGGGCGGCCAGCTTGCTGATCATTTGCTGGAAGCCATCAACTGAGGCCTGCTTGTCCTCGATGTGCTTCAGGATGACGTCATAGCTCGGGAGCTGAGCACGAGCGACTTTGGCGTCTGCTGAGGGGAGCTTCTGGTTGTCGACTAGCTCCTCGGTTTCTTCGAGCCAGTTTTGGAGGTCCTAGAAATAGACTTGGCTTGCGCTTAGGTAGAGTTAACCCCTAAGCTTAGCTTGTGCTTAGCTTAGCGTACTTTGGGCCTTAGTTTAGCTTTGGTTTAGCTTGCACTTAGCTTAACTTTGGATTCGTTTAAGCTCATTTTGGCTTACTTAGCTTAGCCACACCTCTGCGCATCGTTGTAGCTGCCCATCTGCTGCACGGCGGCATCAACAGCGAGCTGTCGGGCGCCAATCTGGGCATCGACTTCGCCAAGGGCTGGGAGACGTCTTGTGAGACGGCTCTAAAAGCGGGAAATTTAGAAAGCTGTTGCTCAACGTACCAGCTGCTTGGTGTCGGCTTCAGGGAGCCCGCTGACTTGATCAGCGCCTTGCATTCACCCTGGACGGCTTTAGCTCGTTCTGCAGTGGGGTTTTAGCTGATCTTTGAGTTGACGGAGGGCCTGAAAAAAGTGGTTTAAGTTTGGCTTAGTTTTAGAAATGAGATTCAGAAACTCGTGCTCACCTCGGCTTGAGCTTTTGGCTCAGAAAGACCATTCTCGTTCTGTAGGGCCGGGGACTCTTGCAACTGATGAATGTCGTTGATCACCCCATTGGCTTCGCTAAATCACCAGTAGAAATTTTAAATTTTAGCCGGTACCTTTCCACCCTAGCGACCTCCTCGCCGATGGCGTTGGGATCTTCTTCTGGCGGTCGCCGAGCTTCCGTTTCCCCTTGCCGATTAGCTGAGAAATGGATGGTTTAAGAACAGATAAGCTTGTGCTGAGCCTAAGCCTAGGCCCAGGCCTAAGCCGAAGCCCAACTTAAGCCTAAGCTTAAGCCTAAGCCTAGCCCAAGCCGTAGCTTAAGCCCCAGCCTAAGCCCAAGCTCAAGCCTAAGCCTGAGCCTAAGCCCAAGCCGAAGCATAGGCCCAAGCCTACCCTAACCCCTTACTTTCCACAACAGGAACGGCATCAATATGGCAGTGATCGTGATTAGCATATGCGGAGCGCGGGGCAAGTTAATGACAGGATACACCCAAGCGCGCTGGGTGGCAGACCGGAATACCAGCGGAATTGGTAGCAATGGGGCCGAGCGCGGGAATTGGATTCCAGATCCGTTCGTTCGATCGGATATCGAATTTTTTGGACACCAAGGCCCAGCATAGCTGTTTTTGGTGAGACCCCAGGGGTCCGACAGCTGCGGAAATGATTCACACGCATCTCACTGGCCCATCGACCGATAAAAGTCGACTATAAAATGCTCATATTTAACGCAGAGCCCTGGCGCCGGTCTTTTGAAGTGTGTAAGGGATTCGTGGATCTGGACTCGATTTTTGGTGACTTTTTAGTGTCGATTGGTGCCGACAAAGAGACCTACGCCGAAATACCGACAGCCAAAATACTGACGGGTTGCAATCCCGACAGTGAAAATCCCGACAGATAGAAATCCCGACAGTGAAAATCCCGACAGGTGGACACGACAAAACTGTGACGGCCAACATACCGACAGCCGCGATTCCGAAGGGCAAAATGCCGACCGCGAAAAAAACACCGACAGCCAAAATCCGGAAATCCCGAAAGGTCAAAAGCATGACAGCTAAAAATACCGACAGGTCAAGCTCCCGACAGACGGAATCGCGAGATGCTTACATGGGGAATCCTGCCAGGTACAAATCCCGACAGCCGCGGTTCCCGACAGCCAAAATGCCGACAGCGAAAACGCCGACCTCCAAAATCCCGAAAAACCCCGAAAACCGCGAAAATCGCGA